TTTTGTATTTGAATTTTGCGAAAACCACAGCGAGAGCGATCCGACACGCACAATCTCCGCAGAGGGTTGGTCGGCGAGCTTTGAAATTCGCACGGCGCCACAGCGAGAGCGATTCGACACGCACAAGCTCCGCAATGGTTCGTCGGCCACGTAAAAAATTCGCACGGCGCTGCAGCGAGAGCGATCCGACACGCACAATCTCCGCAGATGGTTCGTCGGCCACGTAGAAAATTCGCACGGCGCCACAGCGAGAGCGATCCGACGCGCACAATCTCCGCAATGGTTCGTCGGCCACGTAAAAAATTCGCACGGCGCCGCAGCGAGAGCGATCCGACACGCACAATCTCCGCAGAGGGCTTGTCGGCCACGTAGAAAATTCGCACGGCGCCACGGCGAGAGCGATCCGACACGCACAATCTCCGCAGAGGGTTCGCGGGCCACGTAGAAAATTCGCGCGGGCCACGTAGAAAATTCGCACGGCGCCACAGCGAGAGCGATCCGACACGCGTAATCTCCGCAGAAGGTTCGTCCGCGAGCTTTGAGATTCGCACGGCGCCACAGCGAAAGGGATTCGACACGCACAATCTCCGCAGAGGGTTCGCGGGCCACGTAGAAAATTCGCACGGCGTCATCCCCGCAGAGGGTTCATCCCCCCAGCGCCCGCCAGACCCACCCCCGGCTAAGAAAGAAGATAGAATTTAAGGCTGCGAGCTTCGGCTGGGTCAGTAAAGCTGCGTAAGCTAGGCTGTGTAAGTCAGGCGATGGATGAGAGTACTTTTTTTCTGTGTTTTTTGCCATTCTCCGGGAGGCTTCATTGCAGAGCAGAAAGCGCACGAAAGCAGAGGCCCAGGCAAGGTTGAGGATTCACATTGCGAGTTTTTCTTGAACGGCTGGTGCAGGAATCGGGGCAGCCGGCACCTTCAGCTGCTCGGCACTCATTTCTAGCTCGCAGCTGCTTGTTTTTCTAGGCGAAGACGTCGATCCGATCTGTCGACCTGAGCATCGGCAGGAGGCCCTCCTCCTTTCCGTTTTGCGGTGTGCTTGCAACATGTTCTCTGAAGAGTTTCATGATTGCTCTGTCAGGTAGAAGGACTGAGACGCGAGATCGCTCGAGCACGGTGCCCGCAAAATTTGGGCCTTCCGGGAGGGGAGGGGTGGGTCGGGGGGTGCTGAACAAGCACCCGTAAACAGCGCTGAGCAAGCGCTAGTAGGAGGTGCTGAGCAAGCACCGGTAGGAGGTGCTGAGCAAGCACCGGTAGGAGTGCGTGAGCTAGGCTGCGTAAGTCAGGCTGTGTATAAGCTACGCTGCGTAAGTCAGGCTGTGTAAGCTACGCTGCGTAAGTCAGGCTGCGTAAGCTACGCTGCGTAAGTCAGGCTGTGTAAGCTACGCTGCGTAAGTCAGGCTGCGTAAGCTACGCTGCGTAAGTCAGGCTGCGTAAGTCAGGCTGCGTAAGTCAGGCTGCGTCAGTGAGGCTGCGTCAGCCAGGCTGTGTCAGTCAGGCTGCGTCCGGCAGGCTGCGTCAGTCAGGCTGTGTAAGTCAGGCTGTGTAAGTCAGGCTGTGTAAGTCAGGCTGCGTAAGTCAGTTTGAGTAAGTCAGCTGTGTAGTCGGCAACCGTTTTTTCCAAAGAACCCTTCGCGATGCTTTCGGGAAAAAAGGAACCCGAACCCGAACCCCCCGCCCAAAAGAAGCGAACGAACCCAACCCGAACCCGAACCAGAACCCGAACCCACCCCCCCCCGCCCTTCAAATCACAAAGAAAAGAGCCCCGGCGAACCCGACCCGAACCCCACCAAAAAAAGAGCCGAACCCGAACCTTCCTGAACCCGAGCCCGAACCCTCCCCCGCCACCCCCTACAAGCGGACACTCCCGGCCCGGAACCCGAACCCGAAGCCCCCCTGCCCCCCCTCCCAAAAAAAACAATAAACAAAAACAAAACATGACTTGCCCGAACACCCGAACCTCCCCCCCCCCCCGACTGGACACTCTCGGTTCGGAACCTGAACCCGAACGCACCCGCCTCCCGGGGCGGAGGTGAGGTTCGGGGTTAGCCGGGGTACGCTGGGGAACATTTGACATTGTTGCCCTAACCAAATTCACTTGCTGGGGCCAGAGATGCAGGGAATGAGACCATAAAAACGTTGGTTTTTCTTAAGACGACCAAAGCCTGGGCTCATTCAGTCAACCACATTCCCTGCTGAGCACCAGCAAGTTTATTGAACTGAGCAAAGTTTTGCATTTGAATCCCGGCCCCGTAGGCTGGAAATGGCGCAAGCTTTGGTTCCAATCGCTTTTTGGGAAGCAGCAGCCCACGGGGAAAAACTTGTTCAACACAAAGGGGTGCGGTTTTTCTCCCATGGCCACCAGGGCTTTTGAGTGAAACCAGGCGTGTCGGAGACGGCTTCTGGGATCTTGTTGCGAGATTTCACGAACCTGTTTGCCCGCTTGGATTTCCTTGATTTCAAATGCCGCCTGCAACACGTTGTCACTTTTCGCCGTGTGGCCGAGTCTTCGGATCTTATCGTTTCTTCCCCGGCGCGCAACATATGTGCCAGAGTTTGAAGATACAACTATGATGTTGAGTCGAGGGAAGAGCTGTGGCAAGCTTCCACTATGCCCCATCCACACGCACAGGGAAAGCAGGATGTATAGCCCTTGCGCCGCTTTGGAAAGCTATGTGCCCTAGCTTCCCCTTCAGTGAATTGGGGGGTGTAGTGGTAAAGGTTCTTAAAAGACGGAGGCAAGGGCATCAGTTCGAGTTGGCTCATTGGCCAAGAGCGAATCCACCTTTTCTCCTTTGAGTTGTCCTAGGCAAGTCACAATGAGCTCACCCGGGATGATAGATTCCTCAATTCCAGCTGCAGCTGCAGTGCTTGGATTCTTTTTGCCCACCGCCCAAAAGGCGTCCCAGGCGGGTTCTGCGCGAGCTCTTGCTGGTTCGATAGGCAGGGAATGAGAAATGGAATGACCCTGTTTAAGGGAATCCCCAAAACCGGTTCAAGCGGATTCGCCCGGACTGGAGAACAACTTCTGGTCCCACGCGGGCGTGCGCGAATTCTTGGTTTTAGCAGCGAAGACCCCTACTAGGTCCCCCAGCTAGGTGCCCTTTTACCAACTTTTTTGGGAGGTTCCCCTACTGAAATGGACTACAGGAAAAAGTTGGTACCCTTGTTCTAACCTCTCTACTGGAGGACCTAGTCATGGTTTGCCATGTTTATCCTCCCCAACTAAATTAGACTACGGAAAAAGGAAGCGGCACCCTTCTTCTATTACCTTGCATCCCCCAACCTGGGCTCAATTTGACAACCAAGCTGTAAAAACAATCCATTTCGCACCACTCAATCTCAGATTTCTGCTGATTCCCCTGCACATGCCAACAAGAAATCTGCACCACTCAAAAAAAAACGAGTTTTGGTGTCCTGCAAATACCATCGCACCCTGGATTCAACCATGGTTTCATTTTCCGTGTTGCAAGGCTCGCGGATGTCGCAACCACCGAAAATCAGAGAGAAACACAGCTCGTGATCGCCAGGCCCAGAGCCCGCGACGGGATGAGAAAAGCTGAGCAAATCGGGTTGCTGCCTTTTTTGCGATCTGGGATCTCTGTTGACAGGGGGGAATGCATTTATGTTGTTTAGGCCATTTTTTGGGGAGTGTCTTTTTTTTTTCTCCGGTTTATTAATCCAGGGTTCACAACCAAAAGAGGCAAAGGAGCGAAGGCCCCCCCGAAATTGCGAAATTGCGACCGGATAGCACCTATGGTTTACAACGAGTCGCTTTCGGGATACCAAAGCTACCCTGAAGCCCAGACCCAGCGGGAAAACAAGCACTGCAAAAACTTCACTGTTGGATCATGCGTTTAGGTCGTCGTTTTTGTGGTCATGTATTTGTTTAGCGGGGGGCTGCAAACCACAAGTTGGTTGCCACCATCTCAAGGGTTGGGAAGCCAAGGTTCACTAAATCCGGGCCACAGTCAATGAACATAAGGCAGTGGGTCAAAAATCGGTACCCCAAATGGAACCTTGGTAAGTGGACACATGGACCAAAACCTGCGGTGTTTTGGTGGTTGCATTTTGACCCATACCCATAATGTGTGTTTTTTTGTTTTCTTCGGCTGGTTCCCTGCCCCTTTACCAAGTAAGTTGATTCAACGGGCCCCCTTAATCAACCAGGGGTTTTGCTTATCCGGGATTATTGGTCATTTCGTCCGGACGGCGGGTGCTGATGCGTGTGGCTTTGGGATTGCAAGAACCCCAAGATGGCCATGTTCCTGCACCAGAATTAGCTCCCCCTTTCCTTTTTTTTTGCTTTTTTCATCTCCCCTTTGTTTTCCACTAACCAAGCAAAAAACGATTCGTTTTTGCTGGGGTCCTAATTCCAGCCAAGGTTCGTGGGGTCTTTCCTCTGGAAGTCAGTTGGGATGAACATTTTTTTTAGGCGAGATCGACCTTTCCATTTCACCAAAGTCATTCACTCTGAGCAGATCAAAAGGGACCGCCCAGAAGCATCAGAACCCACACGTCCGCCACCCCAACTTGGGGAAACCGCTGGCGAAAATTCGCCTTCCGCTTCGGGCTCCAGCGATTCGATGGCGCCGAGTCGAGCGCATAGCGCCCGGGGCGAAGGCGAAATCCGGGTCGCTCGGGGAAAACCGTGAAGTACACCCAAATAGCTTGTATTTGCTGAATACTACTGCACCAGGGTTAATAATCCGGGTGATAGGGGGAGTCCATTTGCTATAAGCGTGTTTGTTGATTTTCCCCTGTTGATTTAAAGGAAATATATCATACTTACGTCAATGGACCCAGTCAAGTTAGGTGCATTGGTTTGGGTAGATCCCTGCTGTGTGGATCCGCCGGCGGCCTTCCACTTGAGGATCCTTTGGTGGCAAGCAAGTGAAGGTTGCTTGGATCGGAAGTTCTTCGAGAGGGAGAAGCCCTAGCCTGATTTCAATCAGCGCATCGAGTGCGATTGTTGGTTCCTCTTCAGGTTCAAGGAACACCCCCTGACACATGGTGGAGGGATCCCCCTTGAAACGTGACAGACGGTAGTTGTAAGGACGGGAACGAACCACTCAGGGGTATTCACAGACTTGTGAATTTGAAGTGCAATCCTAATTTGGAGTGTAGAGGGGCATGGTACAGAAGCGGGAAGCCAAACCCAAACTTCGACCCCGCAGGCCATGCCAGAGCCGTGACCTTTCAGGAGAGGCGAGGCCTTTTCCGCGAACGCTTTAGCGCGCGCGCAATGAAACCTGAGAGGTCTCAATTTAACTCCAAGACTCACCTCCAGAGTTTCTGGACTGTCACTTTTTGGGTTACCGCGCGCATGCGGATGCAACCTGGGGTTCGGTCTCAATTTACTCCACTCACTTCCCCACTTCCTGGACTTTGGTCACCGTTTCAGTTTGGATCATTTTCGTGGGAAATAAAGAGAGAAGGATTCGTCCAGTGCTCGTGTGGGGTCGGCCCATTATATCACAACCCGTCAGAACAGAGTCGCCGCATTTGCCCTCCCAAGCGTTTGTCGAGTGGACAGAAAGCCTAACAGCCGATAGCGATTGCGGGTCATAGTGGCAACATATATAATATATAATGTCCAATTGTTCACTCCCATGATCACTAAACAACGTACCTTTAAGTACCCACGTGTTTGTCAGTTTAAGTGCCCAAAACATAGTTTCCAAGAGCCTTATACTTGTTTGACCGCGGCCCTCGCACTTGAGAAAAAAGCCAGCCCCGGAAACTCTGCAGCCCTCAAACACCGGCCGTTTTACCTGGGTTTCTGGAGGTTTTCTAGAAGGATTTCTGGAACGAATGCGGAAGGTGCCTTTGCGGGTTGTTTCGTCGTTTGTTTGTCCGCGCAGGAGGCGGGCCGCCGATTTCGGAATTCCATGCCCAAATCGTCCAGGATTCGCCTATTCTCACTTCCCACTTGATTTTGCTGGCCGGCGCACGGCATCTCCGTAATTCAGGGGTCGATTCCCATATTTCCCACTTTGGTGGTTTTAAACATCACCCTTTTGGCCCATGAAAGGTGAGTGCCCCATGAAAGGGGGTGATGTCCTAAGGGGAACTCGAGGGAGCCCGTTCCCGGCCCAAACCGCCAAACCAAGCAGCCAGCTGTTGCGAGATCCGTTTCGCACCACCTGAGAAACCATGGAATGAGTTGATTCCCCGGTAAATACCAGCAACTAATGGTTTCCCATGGTATCAAAGTGGTCCAGGATTTTGTACATCCACAGTACTTCAGCAAAAATGGTTTCCAAGAGGTGCGAAACGGATTTTGTCCATCCACAGTTGGGGGGGCAACACTCAGAACATACCCAGAACAGACCGTACCCACAACAAGTCCCCGCAACAACTACCAACCAAGAAGCGCCGATGTCCAAACCATAAAACATAGACCTACCCGTACAAGTAGCAACTAGCCATAACAAGTACCCTCAAACAAGCAAGCCTTACAAAACATATATGTACCCAACAGGTCGCGGCTCTACGTGGAGTCTCCATGACTCTTTAAACAATGACCATATTATTTTAGGCAATGGCCCCTTTTCTTAAGGATCATGGAGACTCCAGGTACGTGATTTGTTGTTTTCGAAACCTCGAAGCGTCGCTCGCCGTAGGTCCCACTCGACCTCCTCAAGGCGGGCCAGGAAGCGATCGGCTCTCCGCGGTACATACTGGAGATGGACGAAATCCGTTTCGCACCGCTTTGAAACCATGGTTGAAACCATTGTTCGTTGGTATTTGCAGGGGAATCATCATTCCGTTGGATTTCTTAGGCGGTGCAGGATTTCGTCCATCAGCAGTACCTCCTTTTTGTCTGGGGTGGACATCATTACAAATGCAGGTGCCCCAAACAAAAGCGTGTTTTAGGTAAGGCATCCAGAGAATGGCATCTTATTTCCATTCGTGTGTGTTTTGGTTTCGGGGGAGTCCCGGCAAAGTTCTTCCAGGGGTTGATACCTTCTCATTCTCCTCAAGCATTGCTCGCCGTTTGAAGCGTATTTCTTCCCCGGGTGTAGGCATTTGGAGAGAGGGCGAATCTTTTTCGAGCTGGGGATGGCACTTCGAGGGAGTTTGAGATGAGCAAATCATGTCCTGCGCGGATGAATAAACCCCTGCTTGTGTGAGGGCCCTCCAAAAGTGGTTTGAACCCCCTCGAAAACCAGGGACACCTCAAATCTGGGGTCTCCTCCAACACTATGTTGTTTACAACAAACTCAACATGAGGAAGACTTAGTACTCCTATGTTTTGCGTCCCCGAGATGTCGGGCAAGAAATGGGCTTCTCTCAAACAACATTTCCAATTTTGTTGCCGCGAGGTGGCCGCCAAAGGTTGTTATTCCAAAGAACTCGATCTGATACAATATCGAAACCAACCGCAAGCAGGTTGTTTTGACTCCTGGTGTTTAAGCCGGGCGTTGAATCGCCCAACCTTGTTCACTTTACCTAAAGTAGCCCTTAAGTATGCGGGGGGCGTTGAATGGATCTGAACTGAGTTGCAAGGACACACCAGACACCCACCCTATGTGTGGATCAACTTCCCAACAGCAAGGCTTGAGCAATCATATGCCTTCATTCACTGATGTCACAAGTATCTTGTTCTTTGGCTGAGCTGGTGGCCCTTGTGGTGTCCCGCACGCATTGATTAGGAAAATCTGGATCCCTCCAATCTCAGCCCGCAGCATGTGGTGATCATAGCAATCGTAGTTCGGCTGGAGACAGCATGCGCAACAGCTCCACCTTCGTTCGGCTGCGGCCCTTGCCTACGCTCGTTCGCCTTTGCCCGCGTTGACAATCTCTACCTTCCGTTTGCTTAAGCCCGCTGGAAAAAGGAAAGACATTTTTGGTAGTCATGATAGATTTCCTTTCAAACCAACAGGGGGAAAAACACGCATGTTCTTTTTGAAGCAATTGCCCTCTGCCGCCTTGTCTTCTTGGCGGGAGGCCCGGGGCCCCCTCTTGGGGGCTCCCCTCCTCTGGTGCCGCATCGGGTACGGTGGCCTGAGTTGACAAGGACCCGTGTAGGGTCACCCAAAAAGACAAATACATATAAATTATCATATAAATACGATTCCTGAAAGGCCTGTTTTAGGGTCACCCAAAGTGCTACCAAGAAACTGCCCTCCCTCCCATGTTGCCACACCTGACAGCGACCCGATTCAAAGTTGGAAGTTAGAAGTTGCAAAAGGTGCCCTCCCCCAGGTGCCTTCTGGTGGCAGGGAGGCTTTCTGCCTAAAAATTGGAAGCCACCCCAAAGCTTCGAGGCACCCAGCGCTTCATTTTTTTTCGCGGCCTCCGGTGGGAGGGGGAAAAATAACAAAAAAACGGGCCACACCATTGAGGGGAGTCCGGAAAAAACGCCAGCGATCACCAGCTGAGAGGGGCATGACCCTCCCACCTGGCCCCTGACACCCACCTGCCCAGAGGCCGAAGGCTGACACGCGAGGCCAGGGCCTGAAGGACCTATTGAAAGTCAGAGCTGCCTTCGGCCCCCAAACAAGTGGGAAGTATCATCTTCCTGGAGATTCAATCGTCAAGGAATTCCTAGTCATTCTCGGCATTGACCCTGTTT